GAAGATAGTTACAGCAGAAACAAAACTAAGCACCAAAACACAAAAATTCCCTACCAACACCCGAGTCTACCTAATGCTCATTAACGGGTCCATACAAAAGTAATGATAATCAGTGTTGGAATAGGGAATTTTACCTACACAAGACCATTTCCACAAGAAGAGTTTGATGTTCTAACAAATATCATCTAAATTACACTTTTTCGTTTTTGAATAGAAAATTGTTCCTAGCTCTCCATAAGCACCAAACAACGGTTATCCAAATAGAACTGAATTTCAAGTTTCCCTCTTTTTGTTAGGGCCTAATCCACACCAGTTAGAAAAGTATTTGCAGTAGTCTCTTGAATATGTATCGATGTTTCCGCTCAGTCACTGACCTTGTCCCACACCGCCATCACGTTGCTGCATTTGAAGAAAGAACATGCAATGTCTTCTTTCGAGACTTGACAGAAACTGCAAGTATTATTTACCTCTGTGATCCCTCGCTTAATAAGTTAGCCCTTAGTGGCGATCCTGTTCCATAAGATCCTCCAGCCGAAACATAAAAGTTTCGCCGATAATTTTAAATTCTAAACAACAGCAAGAGCCTTTGACTTGTTAGTGTCCATAGGATCTTCTTGTCTACAATTGAGCATAGTTTGATAAGAAAGTTTAACACTATAAGGATTACCTTTGTCTATCGACCAAGATAATTTATCTTCTCTTCCCATGGCAGGCTCCAATCTGCTCAACAAATTTTACATGCCGGAAAACTCAGCTTCATTATCTTGCTTGTCCTGGGAAGATACTCCAAAATTTTCCCATTCCTAATAGCCATTAACCCAAGCTCCCATTGAAGAAATATAACCAGCTTTATCTCTGCTACAATAGTAAAGGTTGTTAAATTTCTGAGCCAAAGGAGGAGAAGACGTCCCCTTAGCCTTCCATAAAGATATAGAATTACCTGTTCCAAGCTCAAACAAAAACCGAGGTTAGTAGAAAAAGCTCCGCTCTTGAGAATGTCTTTCCACCAAGTAGAGGAAGGGATATTAGTCAACATCGAATCAGTTAGCACATGATGTTCTATGTTACTGTAACGAGCTTTAAAAGTTTCCTTCCAAAGCGCTTTTGAATCCTCAAGAATCTTCCATCTCCACTTTGTAATAAGAGCTAAATTGAGTTCCTTCATGCTCTTGATTCCAAGGCCCCCCTTTCCCTTCGACAAACACACCTTATCCCAATTAATCCAGTGTATTTTCGCCTTCGTATCCGAGCCTTCCCATTATAACCTAATTCTGATTAAATCTATAGTTTTCAAGACAGACTTTAGAGCTTTATAAAACGCCAGCCAGAAAATAGGAAGACTCGTTAAAACCGAGTTAATGAGAGTTATTCGACCCGCCATAGAAAGCATAATGCTTTGCCAAAGGGCCAGTTTAGCTCTGACTTTTACAATAATCAGACTCCAAGCACTAACCCTTCTAGGATTTATGCCAATTGGAACTCCTAAGAATAAGAAATAAGCTTTATCCGTCTTACAAGATAAGAATGTAGCAGCAGCCAAAATAAAGTGCTCACTAACATTAATGCCAATGAGCCTACTCTTAAAAAAGTTTACTTTCAAGCCCGAAATAAGTTCGAATCCCCTGAAGACAACTTTGATACTTCAAAGGTTGTTCCAACTTCCTTCACCTATTAGGAGCATGTCATCCATAAATTGAATCAATTCAACAAAATTTCCTATTCCTGCACTGAATCCTTTGTATTTTTCTTCCGTCATAACTTTGTACACCATACTAGTGAGACCTTCCGTTACTATCATGAAAAGGAAAGGAGATAATGCATCTCCATGATGTAAACCTCTTTCCACTGTGAAGTCCTCTGTAGGGCTCCCGTTTACCAAAATGGACAAGTGGCAGTTGAAAATGCTCCCCTCCATCCATTCCATCCAATTCTTACCAAATCCCATCGAAACCATCATGAAATAAAGATAATTCCAACTTACACAATCGTAGGCTTTTTCAAAGTCAACTTTGAGTAGAACGCATTCCTTGTTTTCCTTAGTAGCACAATCCACAATTTTGTTTGCTATAAGGACTCCGTTCAGCAATTGCCTACCTGGGACGAACGCAGACTGACATGGTGAAATAATGTTGCCAATGACTTTTTTCAATCTTTCCACCAACAATTTTGTACAAATTCCCAACAAGACAAATTGGTCTGAACTCACCTAGTTTCAAAGGATAAGCAATTTTAGGAATAAGAGTGAGAAAAGATGAAGTTACCACTTTAGGAAGGTAAGCAAGAGCATGGAAGTCCTTGGTAAATCTAACAATATCATCCTTCAAAATGGGCCAAGAATTCTTGATGAACACAAAGTTATAACCATCCGGTCCCGGGCTTTTCGATTCGTCATAACCCCACAATGCTGCCTTTATTTCAACTTTAGTAAAGGGAGTTTCCAAAGATAAAACTTGTTCTTCAGTCAACTTTCTAAGCCTTAATCCGTCCAGCACTGGTCTGTTAAGGTCAATCTCAGAAAATAACTTAACAAAGTGATTCTTAACATCCTTTTTCACACCCTCCACAGTATCAACCAAGCCCTGAGCAGTCGCCACCGATCCTATGTGTTTTCTTCTATGGATACCCTTGATCCAATTATGGTAAAATTTCAAATTCAAATCTCCATCCAGTCTCCAATTCAGTCTAGCTTTTTGGAGAAGCATACTTTCCTTTTGGTTCAAGTTCCTCCATATTGATCTTGAAGCCTTTGACCGCTTCTCCACCACCTCCTTGAGATCTTGCACTGCTATCGAAGCTAACGAATAATCAGCCTTGTTCAGAACCTCAACATCTTCTTCAACTTCGAAGTCTATCCAACCAAACACCTCTTTACTCCACCTCTTTAAACTAACCTTCAACAATTTGAACTTCTCTTTAATAACGTAATCGCTTCTGCCTTGAACCAGGTAAATTTGTTACATGTGACAGGCAGATCTACAAGGCTCATATTGAAGATGAAGGCTTCAAATTCTCTACACTCCGAACTACTGTAATCAAATCTATGACCCTTTTTTTCTGCTACAACCGAGACCATATTAAAGTCTCTTCCCACTACCTAAAGCCTATCATTAATTTTGTCTTTTAACCTAACCAAATCCCTTCATAATTTCCTTTTAGCAGAAATACTGCAAGCTAAATACACATTTATGACATGGTACAATTCTGATTTCCATTCTAGTTTCATCCAAGAAATCCATCCCCTTTGAAAGAACAAAGGGGCTTGACATTTTCCCCATTCTACATCAAAACAATGCCTCATGATTGCCCTTGAGCACTGACATAGGACCAACTAACCTCACTGTGACTCCACGAGTTCCTAATAATTTTGTCATCGACCTCTTTAAGTTTTGATTCTTGTATGAAGAATATGTTCGCCCTTCCCGATGAGATAATTTTGTTGAATCTTCTCTTGGTGTAATTGCCACCCCCATATAATGTTCAAGGATCCTAAAATTATTGAACATTATTGTTAATCTCCTCTTACCCATTGAATCTTTCTCTTTAATACTCTTCATCTCTGCAATCTTCTATTGATAATCCTTGATTTTGTCGGTCACCACCACCCCTAAACCAGAAATATCTCCCTAAACCTTTTCACCCACTTTTGATTCTACATTCTCCCAAAATTTTGAGTTGCATCATCTAACATCAGAGTCTGAAGTCGGATCACAGTAAAGAATGGCTCTTGCTGAGATGATTTCAGAATCAACTTCTGCATCTTTAGGGGTAGTTATACGATCTGTGTATGATGAAAAGGAAGGCATAATTTGTTTATCAAGAGAAAAAAATAGAAACGCTGGGAGAATTCTTCAATCGGGTCCTCCATTTCTACAGGCCCATCTAGTATGAATATGCCCAACATCCTTTTGGCTTTTTTCTTGAGTTTTCTTCTAATCGTGCCTATTAAATTTGATATACTTATGAGCTTCACCTTTTTAACCTGTTGTACTTTCCTGTTTACTAAATTTGTGTCTGTAACAACCTTAACCAAAGTGTTTTAGATAAAAGGTTCACTCCTTCCTGGTCCTGTTGTACTTTTGCTATCACTCATGTCCATTGTCTCCAAGAAACCTTTACGTGTTGTTATTGCTGCGTCAAAATCAAGTGTCTTATCAATAGAGTCAGCTACTCTATTCTCAGTGCCTAGAGTAGGCTTTCTCGAATCAACAGACCTACCAAAAACCTTCTCAAGCCTGACCTCAGTCGTGGAGTTGACCGGAGAAGAGGTAAGACTCTTCCATGTTTACTATTTTCTCACTAGATTCTACCAAATTACATACTTCGTCTCCTTCCTCCTCTTCACCATAATTATTCCATGTTCCCTCCGAGTCAGAAGATGTTACAGGGTTCATTTTACACTTATCATAATCTTTAACAGTGATACGTAGTGAGCTATACGAATCCTCCATTATCTTAATGCTAAAAATTTTGTTGTTGATTTGAACCTTGAAGATATCGTTAATCACAACCGCACAATGAGTTATAACCACGATTCTTCAAATATCCATACAATCTCCTTTAAATGTGTTATCATCCATGCAATTATAGTGTCCTACCATTTTCACCAACATCTGGAAAAACAAAAAGTTCCAAGCTTGGCAAGGGATGCCATAACATCTCAGCCAGGTTACTCTTTCTTTGTCTACGACGTCTTCCTTTCATTCTCGGATTTTCGAGAACCACTATTTCCACCAAGTTTCTGTTTCTCTGATAAAATCTATGATTTCTCCTGGTTCACTTTCCTCTAAAAGACAAAGGTTCGCTCCGAGAGGAGTAACCTTGATAGGAAAAAAAACCTTCAATCGCAAAACTCGTTTGAATATTGTATGTCATACCTAAATTTAGCATCACCCCCATATAGGCATTCTTAAACCTAACGAGCTCCTCCTCTGGTACGTTAAACTTCATACACACTATCGTTTTCTTGGGTTGAGCAAAGTCAGGAAGGTTCCTATTATTCTTTACGACCTCCACAAATGATCTGTCCCCACTTTAACATCCGCAGCACCATAACTCCTTCTGAACGGTACATGTATACCAGACTCTCCCTGATAACCTCGATACATCTTCCCGTCTCCCTTATTACCTTTATCTAGTCTTGGAAACCTAGGGATATTTGCATGTATTTTAACACTATCTATGAAGATGTTGTCCAACTTCAAGGCGAGAACCCTAACATCATCAATATCGGTGAATCTTACGAAGCCAAACCGTTTTCCAAGTTTGTTCCTTTTAGGAGGGATGACCACCTCTTTAACATTATCGTATTCTCTGAATAAGTTGAAAATCATCTCAGCCTTCACTTTCTTCGGGATTTCAGAGAAGTAGATAAAATGGGTCTCATTCACTTCTCCCTCCTTTGTTCCTCCATCTCCATAATATGCGTCCCATTTTTCTTTAACATTATTTCTGTCTCTTCTGCTTCTAACGCGTCTCCAGTCAATATCCCCCATTGTGAAGCTGAACATTCATTAAGAAAAGTTAAGAGAAGTTATGATAACATGAAGAAGTAGTATTCAAATAATATGAAGTGGTGTTATGTAAATAACATGGAAGATCCTTATTTAAATAACATGTGAAATGGTGATATTCAAATAAAGTGAAAATGTGTTATTCAAATAAATTGAAAATGTATTATTGTGAATGGGTATGAATAACATCTATAAAGGAAATATGTTATTGTGAAGTGATATGAATAACATCTATAAATAATGACGACTTAATGGGAGTCAAACACGATAATTGAACAAAATGTTCCATTTCTTCCATAATAGTTTCTCTACCAAATAGCCATCAAGAAAAAGTTTTGAGAAAGCATGAGAAGATAGATTGGGTATCGGTGGATTAAATACGTCTTTAATCATCATCATGAAACAATGTACACATTTTAATGTATTTATGTTTGTGAGAATCCTATATTTTAAGTTCCATATAATGATGATAGTTTCTTAATGACATGTGTAGTATGAATGAAATTTAAGCTACTTGTGATATCAGAGCATTAGGTTGTAGAACTATGTGATTCTCCATAAGTGTTGAATTTTTCCTCTCAAATTTATTATGAATTTTAATAATAAAATTTAGAATTTGAAAATTATGTTTTTCGTTGTGCTGCATCGTGAAAAATACAGAGTCACCATCGAACTTTATTTATTCTAAAGAAAAGGGAAAATATCGATAAACGCCCTAAAAGATAGAAAAAAATGGTTGTCGCAACCAAATTTGGGTTCAGAAGTCGGTTATGCAAGGGAAAGGTATTAACACCCCTCACATCCGCTGTACTAAATGAGAAACGTTTTAATTGTTCTTGCGTGGATGAATGTTATTATCTAAAGGTTACTTGTGATTGGTTTTAATTAAGGGAAAAATGTTTTTAATTAATGTGCTCGCCAAGATTTCGAAATTCAGTACCTACGTATTCCCCTTAGGGCAATGAAAAAGTCAGAGCTTTGTAGTTCAGGGTAGCAAATAAGTGTTTGTTGGTTGTTTTTATTGGACGATGTTAACGTTCGCACTCTAGCAGTTAAACGTTGCTTGTATACTTGTGTATGAGAAGTTTAAGCTTTGTTTGTATTGTAGTAGAACGAAATAATATGTCCTTCGTGAAAAGCTTTTGGATGTTACCCTAAGACAAAAAATTGAATTTGGTGGGTTGTGATTGTTTTTAGATCTGAAGAGAATGCCTTGATTTGAATTGTACTAAAGTCTTTGAATGGAGGTGAATACTTTGAACAACTGGGTCATGTTAGAAAAAGATTTTAGTTCTGGATATAATCTCTAGTTTTGATGATAACAATGCATATACTTTATATGTAACAATTTGGTACTCTAATTTTATCTTAAATGTACAGATATACAATTCTTATTGGAATCAACTTCTAGTGTAACTCAACAAGATTATGATAGATACTAGAGTTTCTTTGAAAATGACACATGAAGGCAATACTCAAGTCAAGGAAACCAAAGCTCTTACGTTGGTCCAGAAATATGAAGCCTTCAAGATAGAAGAAGATAAAACTATTGAATCCATGTTCTCAAGATTCTAAACCTTGGTAGTAGGACTCAAAGTTCTGGACAAATGGTATACTATTGCAGATCATGCTAAAAAAATTGTGAGAAGTCTTCCTAAAAAATGGAGACCAATGCTTATTGCACTGAAGTTGTCCAAGGATCTGAACAATATAAGTCTTGAAGAAATAGTTAGCTCTCTCAGAAGCCATGAAATAGAGCTAGAAGAAGATGAAACTCAGGAAAAGGTTAAATTTGTTGCTTTTAAATCAAGACCAGAAAGAAGTAAGGTCGAAGATGAAAACTTCAATTGTGAAGATTCTAATGATGATGACGAATTGTCTCTCTTATCTAGAAGAGTCAGACAGCTTTGGAGAAACAGATAAAACAACTTTTGAGGATCCAGAAACAGAGGAGATCATCCAGAATCATCTTCAAGAAGAAAAGCAAATAATGAGATAACTTTTTACGAATGTAAGAAACCTGGACACTACAGACAAGATTGTCCAAAACTCACAAAGGAAAGCTTCAGAAAAGAAAGATTCAAGAAGAATATGTTTAAAGGGAAGAAGTAAGGTCTTATGGCAATATGGGATAATTTTGATTCTGAAGTTTTGAAATTCGATTCTGAAGATGAACACGCCAACATAGCCTTCATGGCCACAACATCTGAAGAGGTTGCAACAGAAACTGAGTCTGACTCAGAAGAGGTATTTTCTGACCTTTCTCGTGTTGACTTAGAATTATGTCTTTCTGAATCTCTTAAAAGGTATCAAAAACTTCAAAAAAAATTTAAGAATATGAAAAACGCTCTTGAATATAAAGTTGAAGAAAATGTCAAGCTTGAGAAAGAGGTTTTAAAACAGAAAGATAAAAACCTTGTCGTAGATAGAGAAAATGTTTTTCTTAACAAAAAATGTTTAAAACTCAAAGAAACTCTTTCTAAAGCTACTTCTTCTTCTGAAACCATCTTATATAAGTATGATAAGGCTTTTCATAAATTCTTGAATAATAGTATAGATAGTAGTAGAATGGCTTCTATGATATATGGTGTTAGCCACAATGGAAAAAAAAGAATAGGTTATGATTCTGACAATGATGATCAAAAACCTTCTCAAGAAAACAAACATGCATCCCCTTTTTCTTACCATTATACACCAGCACAGAAACGAAAATTTAACGCCGCAAGAAAACCTAGGTTTATCAGAAACTCTAGGAACACTAATTTAAAAGGATATAAAAATTTATGGGTACCAAAGGATAAAATAGTATATGTTACAGATATCTTATGCAGTAGAGTTAAAACACCATTCATGGTACCTGGACTCTGGATGCTCGCGACACATGACAGGAAGAAGGCATATGTTCAAAAGCCTTAAGCTTAAAGATGTTGGATACGTAGGGTTCGAAGGAGACCAGAAAAGAAGAATCAAAGGTTTTGGAATAATGGGTAATTGATATCTTCCTTCTATATCTAATGTACTCTATGTTGAGGGATTAATGCATAATATGTTATCCATAAGTCAATTAACTGATAATGGTTATGACATTATTTTCAATCAAAAAACGTGCAAGGTTGTTAGTTAGAAAGATGGCACTGTTCTCTTCACTAGAAAGAGGAAAAACAACATTCATAAGATTAAGCTTTCTGATATTAAAAACCAAGATGTTAGGTGTTTAATGTTTGTTAACGAAGAGCAATGGATGTGGCATAGACGCTTGGGTCATATTAGCATGAGGAGAATTTCTCAGCTAAACAAATTTGAGTTAGTCAGAGGCCTACCTAAGCTGAAGTCTACTTCAGATGCACTCTATGAAGCATATCAAAAAGGCAAGTTTTTGAAAACATATTTTAAATATAAAAATTTTGTTTACTTCTCCAGACCTTTGGAGCTTCTACACATTGACTTGTTTGGCCTCACCAAAACAGCGTCAGTCAGTGGCAAGAAGTATGGACTCGTCATCGTTGATGATTATAGTCACTTGACATGGGTGAAATTTCATAGACACAAGAATGAGTCACATTATGTGCTTACAAGTTTTTGTTCTCAAGTGCAAAATGAATTTAATTCTAATATTGTTAGAGTTAGAAGTGATCATGGTGACGAATTTAAGAATTAACTGTTTGAAGAAATATTTGATTCAAATGGTATATCTCATGATTTGTTCTATCCTAGAACTCCACAACAAAATGGAGTTGTAGAAAGGAAAAATAGAACGTTGCAAGAAATGGCCAAAAATATTATCAACGAAACTAATATGGATAAGAACTTATGGGTAGAAGCTATGAACACAACATGTTATATCCAATATAGGATCTCTATTAGACCCATTCTAGAGAAGACTCCTTATTAATGGTGTAAAGGAAGAAAACCCAACATTTCTCACTTTTATCAGTTTGGATGTTCATGTTTTATTTTGAATACTAAAGAGAATCTAAAATTTTTTGATTCTAAGGCACAAAAGTGTATTATGTTAGGATACTCAGAACAATCTAAGGGCTACAAAGTATACAATACAGAAACATGTATTATTGAGGAATCCATCCATGTTAGATTTAACGATATGCTTGACTTAGATATGTCAAAACTAGTTAATAATTTTGCAGATCTAGAAGTTACCTTCACAGGTTCTGGAGATAGGACAAAGGACTCTGAAATCATAGACCCAAAACATGCTGATACATCAGAAGCAACTGAATATCCTTCCATGCAGAAAGGACAAAGGCTTAGACAAACTGTTTTTGAAGATTTAATTCTAGGAAACAAAGTTGAACATGTTAGAACAAGATCTAAATTCAAACATTCTAAAGAAGTACTCTTAGGATCAGTGTCTCTGATAGAACCAACATCTTGGGAAGAAGCACTTCAGGATAATGAGTGGATTCTTGAAATGCAAGAAGAGCTAGATCAGTTCTCCAAGAATGATGTCTGGGACCTAGTGCCTAAGCCCAAGGGAACTCATGTTATTGGAACCAAATGGGTATTCAGAAAAAAATTAAATGAAAAAGGATAAGTTGTTAGAAATAAAGCACGACTGGTCGCACAAGGTTACAGTCAACAAGAAGGAATTGACTATAATGAAACCTTTGCTCCAGTTGCCAGGTTATAATCTATGTGTCTTCTCATATCTTTTACTATTAATAATAATATTAACTTATATCAAATGGATGTTAAAAGTGTGTTTCTAAATGGTTACCTTTCTGAAGAAGTATATGTTCACCAACCTCCAGGTTTTGAAAACTCTAAGTTTCCAGAACATGTTTTAAACGTAAAAAGTCATTATATGTTCTTAAACAAGCTCCCAGAGCTTGGTATGAAATATTAAGTTCTTTTCTTTTAGAAAATGACTTTACTAGAGGAAAATGGATACTACTCTCTTTTGTAAGAACTTTGGAAACGACCTCATAATATGCCAAATCTATGTAGATGATATAATTTTTGGT